GCCAGCGCTAACGCTGGTGGTACAATGAACATGCTGATGAAGTAGTCTTCCATAATCCCACCCTGTTAGGATAACAAACTACTACTATGGTAACTAGAATCATTCCAAAGCTTAACTTACCTAAATTAATCTTTCCCCCCTGAAATGCTGCACTGGCCAGTTCTGTAAAGTTGGCAGCTATTCTGGGAGCAGCCAGGGGTGAGGAGAACAGTGGTAACATTCCCTCCACCAGTGTGGGGATATAGCGCCTGGTGCCTGCAGGGCTTCCTTTTATACTGGCACTCACAATACTACAGGCATGTTCAAGTTGGAGGTCCAACTGGAAAGATTTTTTTTGTTAATTTTGTAAACAAGTTTGTTATTTATGTAATGATTTTGACTGTTTCTCAGATAGGAAAAATCAATTTAAATTATACAGGCATGTTCCAACACATCTTTTAAGATTCGAATATATGTAGCTCGTGTATTGGAAACTTTTTGTAAGCTACCTACTTTCCTTAGGTCTTAAAAGTAACTGCATTGAAAGTTCTTAGTGTGTGCAGAAAGCAACTTTTCACATGGAGTCTATTGACTAATTCCAGTGGGTTTAAATTGAAGGCAGAATCAGGGAATCTAACCTCTTTGAGAGATTTTCTGATCTGGGACTCCTTTTCAAGTTGTGCTTGCTTCAATTCCTGTTGCTTCTTTGTCAGTTTAGGTTCTTCTATAATTCCTTTGGCACGATTCTTGGCTTCTATTTCCTAGTTTAGCAGTACCAGATAAGTTAATGTGTACTAGCATTCAGATATTTGCACACCTTCTTCAAACAATACCTACCCCTTCAATATCTTAGCTTGAAAACATTATAACAATGTTAAATCTATGCACATTACAATATTCTTTTAAGCTGCTAAAATAAACCTTTTCAAAGAGTTCCACTTAAAATTACTTATGCACAGTTGCTCTCACCTTCCTGAGCTCAATTTCTGCCATCTGCTCTGCATACGAGTAAAGCTTGCTTTCCCTCTTTATATTTGTCACCTTTTCTTGGGCAGCACTAGAAAAGAAAAGTTTTTATTAACTGTGTAATTCACAATTGATTTGCTCTAAGAAAAATGAAATTATATAACAATTTATGTTAACACTGCATCAATAAAAAAATTTAATGAAAATAGAAGCATAACTGAACCTCAAGCAATACATGTTGTATACTGAAATACTCAATGTGAAAACTTTCAATATTTTCAAATTATTAAAACTGCTTCACTTCTTGCAACATATCTTTGACTGATGCAACACTAGAGCAGGCTTGATTAAAAAATAGTCTATAAAATCCACAAATTGTATATTTTCTGCAAATAAAAAAAAAGAAACTGTCTCAAAACAAAACTAAACACAGAGGAAGCTACAATCACACAGCCAGGTTACGTTCCCCAACCTTTGTATCACAGACTTGTCATACAGTTCTCCCTCTGGAGTGTTCATGATCATGTACTCCTGCACTGTGACAGTCACCAGCCCAGGGTTGGACCACAGTGTGAGGACGTGGCCCACCAGGCGAGGAACAGCCACCCTCGGCTCCAGTCTGGTCAGAGTACTTATTGCACTTAGTAGGCCCTAAAGAGAGGATAGGATTTTCAAGCATTAAATTCACTAGAAGAAGATATATGTATATATATTTGAAGATTCTGTATAGGATATAGTATAAAATATCCCATTATCAGACACACAAAAGTTGAGAAAAAAAATAGGTCAATCTTGTCACATTACAAAATTTTCTATCGATACCAAAAATGTTCTAACAGGAAATGTACAATTTAGTATAGCCTAGTATGAAAAAAAAATAAATATGCATGATTCATTATCTAAAAGTAAGACAATTAATATATACCACCAGTTGAGTAATAGTTTTACCTGAGTCAGGACTTGATCGTTCTCAATTTTCTTGCACAATCCATCAATGTTAGCAATGACAAACTGTGCAGCATCCAAACTGAGTTTCCCCAATATCTCTGTCCACAGGTTATTTCTGTGCAACACTGGAGGAAAATTATATTTGGCACTTAAAATAAATACTAAAATCCACATGCTTTTTTTTACTCTCTGGAAATATACCTGATATCCAGCTTTCTCTTTAAAAGCCATGACCAGCATGTTTTAACCAATACATATATCTAAAAATGCTTTCCTGCTTACAGAGAAGAAATAAACCAGACTGAGTTAAAATATTCAGTTGAATTTATGTGTAAAAAAAAACAGCAAGAGTCTCTCAATGCTAACAAATTGCCATCATGGGAAAAAATGAACATTTGGACAGTAAAACATACCATTTGCAAGCCTGATAACGAACATTTAGTAGACATCGCAAATAACAAACAAACTGGAACCAGCTATTTTCATATGGCTACCTTATACCCATCTTTCTTTGTTAAACAGGACTGAGACAGATTCATTAAGTTAAAGGCCATAATATCCAATGTCTACTGTATGACACAATACTTCACATCACTCATGCTATGCTTTACTAACTTATGGCTGGATGATGAGCATCTTCTAGCACTTCTACAGCCAGGAGTGTGGCTTCCATGGTATCAGCTCCAGGGACACTACACAGAGTGAGCAGGCACTCGTATAGAATACGTGGTGGTATGGATTTAGAGTCAGATGGAAGCTCCTCATTCTCCATATATTTCTTCAGCTCTTCTACCTTATGTCAAGAGAAACAAAACCTTCATGAATCTTACTACACAATAAACAGGCAGTGATTCCTTTCAACAAAAAGTTTAACAAACTGAAATAAAACTGTTACAGTTCAGGTATAAATACAAATATAAGGACAGTTTGATGGATTTTATTAGAACAAAATACAAATTTTCATGGTATCTTGAATAATCTTTTTAAATATCTTAGCAACCATCATCGTAATGAGTTCCAAAGTCAAAAATACAATGTTAATTTAAGTTTTTTAGCCCTTTTTCTCACTAGGCTTTACAAATGAACTGCACGACTTGTATTTTCACTTAGTATTTACCTGCAATTTTTGGTTATCATTTTCACTTCATAAGTGTTGTTAAAACCTACTAGCAATTACTAATCTAATGAATTCCAGCCTACTTTAATTGGACATTAAAAGATGTGGTATCTCACCTTCTGTTCAGCCAACAGCTTCCTGAATTCCTGGACAAGTCCCACAGCTATTTTGGCACCACCTAAGATACTAAGGAGCTTCCTTGCACTGGCCTTGGAATGTTTCCTTAACTGCCATGTACCATGTGTTAGACCATATATCAACGCACGGTAATATGCTCTGCAATAAAACATCACTCATTTGATTTAACAATTTGTACAAAATATCCTACACCACAAGTCTCATTTTTGAGGATGACACCAAAAGGTGTGGAAAGGTGTTAAACAAAAAGCTTTTTATCATCATTTCATGACCTTGTTTACAAGTCCATCATATTATAAACTTGGCTTAGTAATCAAACAAATTCAATGAAACAGGTGGCTTACTGTGAAATTTTATCTGTGACCCTCTGTGGGTGGTCTAAAATCAGTCTCTCTGTCAGCGTGACTAGGGATTGCAAAGCTGGGTGAAAATGAAACCAAAACTTTTATCACTTTTGACAAAAAGTTTGCACCAATAAAACCAATTCTAAGCATGAATTTCTATCCGTATTATTAACTTAAAAACAGATATATGTAAATACCTAAAATCAATAATACAATAATATTATTATATCTCTTTATATCTCTTTCAATGACTGTGAAAATATATATCAATGAAAAAATGCTTTTTGTATTAACATAATACAAAAACTTCATCTAGAAAAAAATAATTCACTTACTATCATCTGAGGCTGATGAGAGGAATTTTTCATTAAGAAAGAGCTGTTTCTCAGAATCCAGAATAATTGTCCAGAACTGTCCTAATTTTGATTCTGAAACCAATGTAAAAGAGATTCTGGTACACATACTCAATTTCTTTGGCTTATTTTTCTTGGTACTAAACAAAAATCATAAGATGGAAACTGGTACTTTTTTTAGGACGATTTCAAAGCGAAGACACAAATGTCTGACAAGTGGGTTAGTTAACTATTTAGCTTTGCAAAAAAGAACTGCAAAATGTCTACCTCTGAATATAATTTAAAAATTGAAACAACGGAGTCAAGTTGTTAAAAAAAAATGTATATTTTCCGTTTTTAATCCAGCTTCAATTTTTTTCATCTATTAAACATCATAAAAATGTCCCTGTACTTTAAAAGTATAACATCCTTACCAACTTCCACATCAGCTAGAGAGATTCTGATGAGGAGACAGGCAGCAGACACTGCCTCTGTGACCAGGTGGGTTTGTGTGGGCTGACTGCTGGCTTTCTCAAGGGTTTGCAGCAGAAATGGCAGCAGAGGAAGACCCTGGATTAATGTGTCACCTGGTGAAAAGAAAAAATAAAACAATTATCTGAACGTTCATGTCAGTGGAAAAAAGTTTTTCATTTTGAAAGCAACTAAACATGTTTTCTATCTATGAGGCATGATGTTTTCATCCTCCTTGAAGGGGATCACATGACTGACCTGTCAATTAAGGCCCCCGAGGGCAGGGCCGAAAAATAGGGACTAATATTTGGAAATTATTCACTTTTTATCATCACTACACAAGAGCCAATAAAAAAACCAATTCACTGAATAGTAATTGAGAGTAAAAATCCCAAAATTGGTGCTTGTGTGACAATAGACCTGGGCTCCGTATCTCGAAAGGTTTGCTATGTTGCGCACGTGCGCAAGCGTCTCTATTCCATGGCCCCGTATCTCGAAATAGAATCGGTTATGGAATTGCGCAACATAATGAACCTTTTGAGATATGGAGCCCTGAGCTACCAAAACATTATAGAGATTACTACTCACCACTGAAAGCTGCATTCATGCACCGAATGTACATGTTTCTAACAGCAGAAGTGGATGTCTTCAATCCTGGGCCTTTCTACAATTAAAAACATAATATCAAATGAAACTGGTTTTAAAGCCATGTTTATTTGCAATTAATTTTTTTTATGGAAACATAGAGCAAATATAATAAACTGTTACTGTAATCATTTTAAATACTGTTAGTTTAAACACTTAATAGTATCTAATATACTGGACAATTAAAGAGACAGATGAATAATTTTGTAATAAAACTTGTATTACCTTGAACCATTCAATCAGTTTCTCTGGTACTTGGTTTGAGAACTTCATGCACCACTTGGACAACTCAGATAAAGTGTGGACCAGTGTGCCTTCATGGACTGGAAAGGTACCAATATATAACAATAGATATTAAGTTCTTTATAATCAAAGTCTGCAGGTCATATTAATTCAATAGCACTTGCTTATATGTCTGCCCTTTTAATTAACTTGTTAAAAGGGATTATGCTCGTACTTTTCTTTTAAAAAGAATAATTAAGTCTATGATCCTGTTGTTTCCATGGAGACAGAGTTCCCAATAATGGCAATTTAGTAAAAGGGACAGAATAACAAGCGAATCTACCAACAAATGAAGAAAAGCAGGTAAGGATAAATGTATACCTTCCTGTTGCAGTACAGGGATAAAGAGTTCAGCCACATTGCCACTCAGGCTCTGTACACTATTGGTGCCACTAACAGAGTTATCACTCATGTTCCCAATACCACTCAACATACTGATTCTCTGGGCAGCCACTGTTAGTTTCCCTTCAGATCCTGAAACGGAAAGTTTAGTTTTTAATCTGGATCAATTGTCCTCTGTAATGGCTCCTCTGAGTCTATGCAACTATACCTTATTAAGAGAAACTTATTAAAGGAAAAAAGTTATCAGTGATAGTGAACATTACCCAATACCGTTAACTCCAAATAGTACAAAGAAGTAATGTACCTTATAATAATTTCTTTTCATTTCAAGAGTTATATGCCTCTAAGATATAAATTCTGTAAAGAGCAATTAATTTTTGAACTCATGCAAAGATTAAGATGACACCCACCATTAAAAACTGCAAAGAGATATTTCACCACATTTTCTACAGCTCCTGGGTCACTGCACTGCTTAGCAAGGTGCTTGCAGGCCTCCACTGCCTCAGCCCTAGTCTCATCTTGCATAGAATGCAACTGAGCTGAAAGTCAAAAACACCCCTTATAAATAATGTGAAACACTTCTAAGAATCATACGCACAATTAAAGGATATATTTTGAAACTTCAATCCATTATCCACAATATGTAAAAGGACCAAACCAAGGAAATTAATAATGACATCTTGTATGAAATGAGAGTCTCATTTAAGGTCTCTGTGTTTCCTTCTCTAATCTGTCTACGTACTTGCTATAGGTTTGGCCACCTCTGCTGCATATGAGCTCAGGTCCAATGTCACACCACCTAGCATGTAGCTAAAAGCTAAAAGAAAAGAAAAGGTTTGTTTTGGTGAAAAAAGGACGCCTAAAAAAAAGATCACAATAAGAATTCAAATATAAGAACCCAGTATCATTTTAGCTGAAACTGAATCTGATAAAACTTATCAGAAACGTGTGAGGAATGGCTTAATATAAAAGTCTTCAATCACAACTGAGAGAGAAAGAATGCAATTTGCATGTACATTAAACAGTTGCATTGTCCTTTTACCTTGTAGTACAATTTCTGGGTTCCTAAGCATTGCCTTCTGTACTGCTGGTAGAATTTTATCTTTGAAGTCCTCATGACTGATGTGTCTTAAAAATTCTTTACAGCTTTCCTGCAAAAAAAACAGGTTGGTATCAAAACAAAGTTTTGAAAGCACCATTTTATAACTTCACCTCATGTTTATTAAAAACAATAATAAGTATGCATTACGCCAGATGAGATCTATGGACAGACATTTAAACTAACTAAAAAATCCCATATTCTCACCAAAAGATGCACTGCAGGCTTAGTTCTGCTGCCAAGCACTCCCTTTAGGTACTGTTCTACAAAGTGACCCTTGAAAATAAACAAAGTATAAGATTTAACAAACAGTCAACTGAACTTCTACTTGATTATTATTTACTGACATTATTATTTTTAGTGAAAGACAGATATGCCTCAAATAATCAAATAAAATGATTTGCTTAAAAAATATAAACGGACAGCTTATGTACCTTATATTTGGTCAGTGTGTCCATCTCTTTCCTCTTTGTCCAGTATCTGACCAGGCAGGCCACCATGCAGAATTTGTAGTTGTCTGGTTCTGATGCAGTCAAAAAATCAGCATAGGCAATTGCAGAGTCTGGAACCTAAAATAAAAAGGTCACATCTTTCTTCTATATTACAAACAACAAAGAGAGCAGGATACCAATCCAGACTGCAGGATGTTTATACAGCAATGCATGTTAATAAAACCCCAATAAATCACAATCAAATCAATTCATACTTTAATATAGAAACTACTTACAACTATGCAAAAAAGATCTTACTGTCATGGTGATCAAACTGCTAACAGACCAATTTGTCATGATAGTGCCTATCCACGTACCTCCTGCCATATCACCTTCATTCTTTTGTAAGCTGCTTCCCTCATAGATTTCTTTGAAGCCCATGCTCCATAGATAAATGCTATCTGCAAGTTCACCTTAACAAAAAAAAAATCATATATTTTTGATTAATCAACAAAGGAAAGGTTTATTTTGATTCTGTTTCCATCATATTATAATGGACTTCAAAAGAAGTAAAGGAAACCAAAAACTGCATATCTTTTTATGAACCATTCTTTCAAAAAAAATTCTTCCATAGTTTTAAGCTCATCTTGACTGGTCATGTACAAAATATATGAAAACAAAGTCTAGATTTTCAGTTCTGATGTTTAGCTAACTAATTCTACCAAATGACTTACCAGGTTCTTGAATTCATTTTCTGCACTCGCAACCTTAGTCTTCAGCCCATATCTGATAGCTATGGTGATCCAAGTAAGGCATACTAAACTCACTGTAGCCATGTGATGACTGGAACTAAAAAAGAAAATAGTAAACCTGCAATTATTACTTGTTACGTCCACATTTCAACATTGGATGGGCATGCACTTCAAGATTTTAATACCTCAGCAAAATCTAAGACTAGCATGTTTCTGGTGGCACTTACTCTTTATTCTTAAGCTGGGCCTGCGCTTCATCTTTCAAGGCAGAATACAGCTGTTTTGCTGTGGCTTCTGGATATTTCTCTGCTAATGCTCGAAGCAGTTCTTTTACAACATGTCTTGATTTAGCATCATGGTATCTTAGTAATGTGAAAGTGAGAAGCTTAATCACTCCCTTGACAGCAGCCTCTGTGAATTCTGCAAATAAATATAATTACTGTACCATGTAGATTATTTGCATGTGACAGCACCTGTCAGCCAAGTAAGTGAACCAGTGGCAACTTAATCAGAGATGTTTGAACTTCCCTATAAAATAATGGGTAAATGAAGAGTAAATTTTGGCTTTAATTTCTATTATCTCTAAAGCATACTCATTAAAATGAGTCTGTTCATCGGAAACAGAATACAGCAGAATCAGAGCAACAGGGCAAGTGTTTTTTTAATCGAACAGCTTATTCTACAAAATAGGAAAGGGAGAAGAAAGAAAAATGGCATAATCATACCAATTCAGTTTTAATCACAAAATTTAAGAAACGTAACTTTTTTCAAAATTCTGTGTTTGACGAAAAAATCAAGGCAAATGCCACGCACTCACCAGGTCTGGAAACACATGTGGTGACCGCTGCAAATATTTTTCTTCTTTCATTCACCTTTGAAGTGTTGATCGATTTCGAAAACTCCTTAAGGACATCGCCAACCTGAAAATCAACGACGGAAATAAAGTCAATTGTAATTTACAAGTCACACTAACCCACAAAACATAAAAGCCGGTGTGTCTGGACAAAATCATACCTTCACGTCGGCCATGTTCCTTGTGCAATAGTCCCACAATGCTCTACAATTTAGGTCAAGTAAAAAGTGGATTAAAGTATTCCCATGAACCATGGATTGGGAGTAAACCACATAAACATAATAGAGTTTGTTTCATTTTATTGAGATTTAGAATTAAAAAATATGATGATGGATCACTAAAATACAGGACTGGAGTAAGTTATGACCATATAACACTTCCGGTCTCTTTTTAGGTCAGAGGTCATCTGCTTCGTGCACGTGTTATGTTGCCTTACAAATGTCCGCTACAAACACTGCTGTTTTACAAATATGTAGAATATCATGAATATGTAGTATTTGGTGAGTGAAGAATCTTGAAAATCTAAAGCAAAAACTGCTTAGGGATGTGCTTGTCATCTTGTTTTATCTTTGGTTTTCTCAAATTGATTTCAATTTTGAATCCCACATTGTAAACAAACCACAACTTAAATGTACATTGTACCTGTATAACAACATTTCTTAGTATTGAACAATGTTATATCAAACACAACATATTGTCTTTATATGTAACAGTACTCAATGTAATCATGTTTGTGCCGAATTGAAGTCCACCCCTCTCAGTTCCGTTTTTCTGTAGAATTTGACATCATTGGTCAAGACACAATCATTATACTTACCAGTAATTAGTTTCAGTGATAAAATTGCTTCATTATTTTGAAATGTGCACTGGTAACATAAAAAAGATGCTACTTTTTTGTGTGAGTGAAAAAACAGCAAAATTTTTAATGTTGAAGGATAAAAAAAGATGTTTTAAATAATCTTACTGGCCTTGTTATTGTTATTCACAGTGCCTGGCGAGTCCCCCAGACAGAGAAATGTCACTGTTGAAACCTAGACTTTCACCTGTTTTAACCCAAGATGTTATAGACACATTGAGAAAACAAGGTGTGAGAACTGTGCTTGACTTCTTGGAACACAATGCAGAAGAAATGGTGAAAAAAGCTGGCATGTCCTACAAGGATGTACTTGCTATAAGACATGTACTTCTTGCTCAGTATTCGGCTGTCCCAGTCAATGGAGCAGATATGTATGAAGATGCCTTAAACTCAATGGCAATTCTCCCAACAGGGGTAAAGAGGCAAGTAACTTTTACATTATTTGTACGAATCATTAGAGTAACGGTTATAGTTGTCAAGGTATGCAGATTTGTAAATTCATCATTACTCATCTTATTGAATTTATTTATACTAATACCGCTATGAATAGGCTCTTTTATAAAAAGTTTACCAGCTGACTTGTCATTTACTCAGTATATACTGTAGTCTTTATTTTCTCTTTTTTTTCAGTTTGGATACCATGTTGGATGGAGGTTTATATACCTCTGAGGTCACAGAATTAGTGGGACCAGCTGGAGTTGGGAAGTCCCAGGTAAAATTATCATGTACTTTTTGCTTTTATCCTGTTGACAGGTGGTGAAAGGTTATAGCTTATATCCTTGTCCATGAAAGGGAGAGAGGCGTCTGGACACAGTTTTTATTCTGCATGCAAATATGTTATGCTGATAAGGATTGTCTTACAAAACGAGTTTACATATCAACTTTTCACTCTCTGATGCAAAATACTATTTAAGTTCCAATAAAAATTTCTCTTTAATTATCTTTTATTATAACTCTTTTGAAATAGAACTGTCAAAAATGCACGGCAAAGCATTTTTAAAATGAGAGAAAAGTATTATAGAACAATGAATAATTAGTATGCAGTTGAACTGAAAATCTCATCTTTTGTTCCAGCTCTGTATGTACACGAGTTTGAACATTTCTCGCAATCTAAAACAGAATATAATGTACATTGATTCTACTGGAGATTTCTGTATTCAAAGGCTTCAAGACATTCTCTATTCTGATCAGGTGGAAGATGAGGTAGGTATATCATATACCTACATATAGTTAAGACACAAGTGAGTTTTGACTGCCACAAATTTAAGTATTATATTTTAATATATTAAAAAAAATTGACTCCTCTTTACATAAACCCATTTTAAAAGTAATTTTCAATGTTTCATTAATATTACAGGAGATAATCGATGTACTTTCAAGGATAAAGTGTTCTAGAGCATTTGATATATTTGAAGTATTGGCACAACTCTGTGAGGTCACAAATCACTTGACAGCACAGGTAACACTCCCCATGTTATATTCTCATTGAGATTGATGAATCAGTTTTACATTTCCAGAAATCTGAGAGGAATAAAAAATATCAGAAGGTCCTTTTGAACTATCGATTTAAAATGAATCAGGTTTTGCCAGATAATGGTCTGCAATATGCAATTTAATTCTTACCTAAACTTTTTTACTAAGGCGTTTAAATTTTTACAGACAAATGCATTCTATCAGCATTTGAAGTTGGTGATAGTGGATAGCTTGCCAGCTGTGGTTTTGCCAGTCCTTGGTGGAGCTCAGACAGATGGTAAATGTGCCTACTTAAAAAAACAAGTGACTGGATTACAAAAATCAATATTGATACAATAGAATAATGGGAAAAAAGGGTCAATTTGTGTGAGAAGTAAAGGGGAGAAAACAGAATGGCACATCTTTCTCTGTGTGCACAAGATTTGAGTCATTTTGTTTAGGAAACAAACCCTTTTATCAATTGGAAACTTTAATTTTTTATGACTATATTGATTATTTTTTTATTATCTTAGCCCCTTATATCTTTGTTGATAGAGATTTTAAATCAATGTTTCATGCTGTCATTTAGAATTTTGCTTTGCTATAATTTCCCACCTACACTGCTTAACTTGTATCTAATATCAACTACAGGCGGAACATACATATCCTTGAAGCTAGATTCCCTTTCCAAGTTTTAATTTTGCTATTTTTTTTAATTGAAAAGCCACAATGAAACAAATTAAACCATATTTATTCATTTATGTATATTAATGATTATTATCATTGCCATTAAATAAATGGGCATTTTTATAATAGTATACACGTTGAATATTTCTCCTAATTTTGCAGGGCACGGATATTTAATGCATTTAGCAAGAATGATGAAGACATTGGCTGTAGACTTTAACTTGGCTTTAATGGTAGATAAACTATTACAGTCCAGTTGAATTTATACATATGTGGGATAAAGGGCTATATAGCAAAAATTAAATAGACTTTTTTCTTATTTTAGTCACTCTATAATAATCTTGTTTTGAATTATAAAGTGTACGTATTTTACACTTCTACACTGAATATACACTGTAGGTAATTCAGCCAGTATAATTACACATTTTATATTGTATGTAGCAATGTTGCAGTAACTTCCAAGGTATTGGTATTTAGTTTAATCACACGTACTAAGTTTGAATAGATATTTTTAAGACCATTTTTGCATGTGAACTACATGTATATGTCATGGCTACCAGACTTACACAACATATAAAGATGGCTTCTCTTTATTTAATCAGACAACAAACAATGTAGTGCAGGGAGAAGCTGGGGAGACCAAACCAGCCCTGGGACGTGCATGGAGTCACATACCTAACACCAGGGTGGAGATAAAGAAACAAGACATTACACCTGATGGTGAAAACAGGAGAACAGCTGTACTTACCAAATGCTCAAGACAGGTAAGTCTGTTCAGTGTTATGTTACAGGTGTAATATCACTTTACCAGCTGTAAATACATTATAGCTGATGAATGTAAGTGCTAGGTATTGCTTTGTTGGTGCTTAATAATTGTATAGGGTGTTGGTTAATTTGTAGGATTTGTGGTCAATATGGGTATTAGCACTAAAAGATCTGTGGGTAAGGTTAGGAAAGGACTGTATCAGCCAGATTTTCATAATTTAGATAAATTACACTTCATTTCATACAAGCTGACAAGCTCAGGATTTTTACATTTGGAATTGACTTGAATGAAAGTCACAGACTTGAAACAGACCATGTGGCATAGGAAGAATATAGGAGAGCTAATCAATATAGCTGTTAGACTAGCACATGTGCATTTATTTTATAAAAGTATATGTTAAAATATAATAAATTTTTTCTTTATTGTAGCCCACTGGCCTGACAGCAGAGTTCACAATCACTCCATCTGGCATAGAAACATATCACAGCTGACAGCATGTTACAGAGTATCAGTATTTCCCAAGGACAATTTAGGAGATAGCACATATACTAAAGGTTCAACTTGAAAAGCACATTTTACCTTTTTTTAATACCAATGATTTTTTGAAAATTGTGCATGAAAATTTGCTTCGAAAAATGTGCACAGAATACAACAATGTTAAGTTAGTAAATATTAATAAATATGTGATTAATGAGTTACGGACATTAAATGTTTTCAAACATTGATATACATAATGTACTTGAATTATTTTAAAATGTCAATATTATGGCTGATAAAGTCTTTGTAACATTTCTAGAACCTGAGATTGATGTGAATGGAATTCCATTTGATGGATGTCGGAAAAAGTTATTTTTGCTAGGCACTGATATGCAACTGTCAATAAAAATATCTCACTATTATGTACATATGTACAGTATATATATAATAAATCTGTAAAATATGTTTAATGTTTCTTCTTGTTTCTAATCCTTCTTTTCAGCAATAGCGTATGGATGGTCACGTCCACAAATTCAAGCAAAGTTATTAAGCTGGCCCCAACAAATAGTCCCAGGGATCCACCAATGTCACCTATAAAGAAAATAAACAGAAGTTAATGCATGCCAGTTTAACGCATGCCAACTGAGAATGGCTCTCACTAACGCGACATAATAAACGGCGCAATTCTGTTCTGGTGTGTAGCCATAATCATTAGTAAAAACGCACATATTGGAATCTCATTGTAAGTTCCGGTCGTGTGCTTCATTTAATGGACTGGTTTAAAAAATTGTAGATAAAAAATTATGCATTCGAGAATACTGTCCGTTAACCTGGGAATTTGCGCCGTTGTCATGGTAACTTTTTTGTTGAATTTAAATTTTTTTAGTGTCATGCATGAAATAACATCTATTGTTAATTGTGTAGTAATGTACAGTTTAATATCGAAAGTCGCCCTAATCATCAAATGGAACCTTTTATCTTGATTGTTTCATAACATTGAATTAATTAAAAAAATCGAGGAAAAAGTCATTAAGTTCTTATCGTGTCAACCGAACACAACAGTTTTAAATATCTGGCAAGTTTAAAGAAAGAGCTCCCGTCACTGCAAACGCTAGTAAATAACTTACTCCACAAGCTGTTAGTGTCATAGGCTATTTGCTGCTTGATCTCCTCGTAGCTTAGCTCTTTCAGAAAAACATCGAGCTGGAGAAAATTTTCCCTGAAACAAAAATGGATCGAAGATTATTTAACCTAGGCACTGCAATTCTATTATGACATCTCAAAAGTATACTTTACTATTCTATGAAAAAAGCACCGCTTCGTATGATGACCAGTATGACAAACGAATTTTAGCTGTCTCCTGACGTTGATTAGAATACTGAGAAACTGGTGATAGTACGAGTACGTCGCAAACAAGAAAAAGCTTGTTATTCCGTCAATCTTGTTGCATTCAGCGAGAGTCCCCTTGGAGTCGGTGCGCATTAGCTAGGTCGACATATCTCATTCTAACCAGTCCCTTAGTGGTTTGTTTCTTAAGTAGGTGTACAATTAATGTGATGGGAAAAAATTCTGTAAAATTTTCATTTATATTAGAGTGTTTTATTTCGTCCATATACTTAGTTAACTCACATAAAGAAGGTTGCGTCAATTGTGTTCTTCCTCTGAAACGAACCCAGCTGCTCTTGCAGTTTGAAAAAAGCAGATAGGAAAAGTTCATCTTTACTGCCAAGTGACATGTCAAGGTCGGCATGTTGTATTAGTCTCCCAAGTTTTATGTCGATCTCTGCTGATTTGTTCTGTATGTCTATTTCTGCAAAATCTGCATTCGTGAGAACTTGAAGCTCCGGCATGGAGATATTGTCTAATGAACCCCGTGGGTAGCGTAGCATTCTCCGGACAATGTCGAGCAAATATGCACTATCTGAAGTGTTTGAAAAAATATCACGAACATCTTGGTGTATCTTCTGATAAAAATTATCCAGAATAACTTCACCCATCATGTTCTGCCACATTTCAGTGTAAGCAAATTGATATTGATGGAGGTTGTCAAGCAATTCTCTGCCTCTAGACCGCGCGGCCCCGAAGAAACGTTGCATATTCAGTAATTCTTCTTCGACGGCTGGCGACGTAAATGACACCGCAACTTCTGTCTTAGAAATGTTGTCGTGTTTGATGTAATCTTGCGCTTTGTCGATGGATTGTCGCAAAGTTATGACGGCTGTCTTTCGCAGAGAACTCATATCTTGTAAGAGCTGGTCTATTGGCCATAGGACGTTCGCCATTGTTGTATGCAAAGTTTCGTTACATACATTAAATGTTTGCACTATGTTTTCCAACATTTCCTTTGGTTTAGCAACAATTCGATCATAGATCATATACTTCCGATAAAGGAATTTCTTTGCCATGGAAATATAAGTATCGATACTGGTTTGATATAAAGTCTCATTGTGGGTTCCATTTTCGAATATTTGCTTTGCTACGAGACGCAAATTGTGCAGTGATTGTACATATAATCCTGAGTATTTCATTATATTTTCAAAATTATAATGAGTGTTCTTTAGATCATGATGTAACAAATACAACGAAACATAGGTCATATCATAATGCCGATCGGGGGTCGTCAAATAGGTCAGAAGAGGGAACCCGTCAATGTAAGCCTCGTAAACTTTTGTTAAATTAGAACGCGCCCTGTTGGCCAGACTAAGTTTTGTTAACAAGTTCGTGTCAACTATTTGAAATATGGCTTGACGAGAGCATGTGTCGTTATGGTCTGTAGAACGCGCACAGTCCATCATGTGCTTGAAAAGATCATGAGTTTGGAAAAACCCTGTTGTCACATGAGAAAACGTCCTTTCATCCATCACATTCCACCCTCTGATAAAATCATTATGATATGTGTAAACGCTTGCCTTAAGACCCCGGTCACTGTGAAAAGCAATTCTTAGCCTCAATCTTTCGGTCATGGAAATAATGGTACTTTTGACTAACTCGAGAATAATTGTTATGTCATCCAAAAAGCGAAGTATATCTTCATATTTCGCCAATAAATCTTTAAATTTAGCCTCGTCATCTGTGCGTATGGCTTGATCAACCTTTTGTCGAATTTCTCTTGCTTTGACGTATTTCTTTTGAAGCAGCTCTAAGCCTTCACTTCTCAGCCAGGTTTCGGTATTGAAATTAGAAATAGTGGCGTATGTGGTCGTCGTGTCGAACAGCGTTCTGTTACAGGGTACTGGACACGGACACGCCTCAGCACTGCGTTCGTATGTTTCTGAAAGCAATTAACTTATTTTATTAATTTTCTGTAAATTACTTATGGCGCCTTATGAACTTTTAAACAAATCATTTAATCATACAACATCATTCCGATCTTTTGAACATTAGGAATCAAATTATACCGCGGCTCCAATGAAGACGGTTTGCGAAACTTGATGTTAATGAAGAGGCAGTCAGCCAGTTTGCTGCTCGTCTTAGCCATAGTTTTCCTCGTACACTTACCTAAACTGGGTCTCAAGCAAGTGGCATAAGTTGACAGATTGCATACAGAAGGGTACCCTAGGGAGAAGTAATAAAACGCGGATATTGTTTATATATATAAATTATATTGAACGTTAAAGGCAACAAGATTAAAGATACCATGTGACTTTTCCGATTTTTTTTTTTCATTTTAACATATATATCTGTTCAGAAGTATTGTTAAGTTTAAACATCTATTTTAAAGTGTACATGCACACGATGCTTCCACGTAGAAGTGTATTGGATGCACAGTTGAAATAATCCTAAGAAGACACAATATAAAAGGAACAGATATTGTTACATGCGGTGAAGACAACTGGTAGGCCTACCTGTATATATCTCCGGCATGTAAAAGTCGCGGCAACCACATTGTTCTACCACGTGTCTTGCCTCACAGTCCAGATCACAGGCTGGAACTGAATAATAGTCATAATACCTCAGCTCACGACTGCCACATTTACCATGCGGAGGGATCAGGTTTTCCACCTGCAATTACACAGATGTAATTTCTTTTATCCATTAGAACAATACGCGGTTTAGGAACGCTTGTTGGATAGTTGTACATGTAAATAGGGGCCTGTTTTACAACCAATAAGTTAATAAATAAAAAGACCCATTGGTCTTAACCTCAAAACCTAAAATTTTGGTGTCATTAAATTCGGTAATACTTTTATTACATTTGACTACATCTGATCATATGTATGTCAAAGTATAATAAAAGTATTTAAAAATAAAGACAAATTTTCAGTCGTAAGTTTTTAAATAATAGCGACCCAAATACAAATTACACTTCTCAAGTACGAACCATTGTGAGCAATGTATGAAACTGTTCTCTGCAAAAGATAAGCACTACTACAGAGAAATCGATCAGGTACCTAAGGGGCAACAAGGAAACGTTTCTCTGAAATAAAATACCTTAATAACAGACATTCCCACGAAGGCGTGTGATCCTGGTGGTATGGCTTGCCCCAGATCCCGCACCAAGGGAACCTCGTGCTGCTCGTGTAAGAGAACTTTGAGGCCAGCAGAACTAAATGGACCGCTCATGTACTCATACTGTTCTATGTTGATTGTCAGCCTAAGACCGTGTTCAGCGCCTGAAATTATATGAGGCCTTCTTAACGGACTTCTGGGTGTTTCCAGATCTGCTATTCTCCACTCGACGCGCCTGTTTCATGAGCAGGTCCAAATAAACTGAATTAAAATAATTTGTGCTCTAGAAAATGAATTATGTCTGTTGGCCCTACTTATGAAATAATTCATAAGGTACTGATAACTGAATATTCACTATTGCCCAAAATTGTAAGTGTGGCATGCGAAAGTTTAACATGTTTGCAATATACCCGTTGCAAATGTATCACTTTCATTTTTAAATTCGCAACTGTTCATATCTGCAATATTAAGTCACGCTCAAAGTAGTCGTTATTTTATGCGATATGTGCACCAACCGTTTGGCGCAACAGTGTGTGTGTGTGTGTGCGTGTGTGTGTGTGTGTGTGTGTGTGTGTGTGTGTGTGTGTGTGTGTGAATTCCACCAAAATATCGCAGCATTTTGTCGTTGAAGTTTTAGACAGAAATTTATTTTAATACTGTTATTTACTGTTTTCTCTTCGTTTCATTTTAAATAATTAATACACTTCAATACAAAGTTACTCATTTGACCCAATCCTAATTTGCTTAAAATCCTTTTTCTCTAGACGACGGTAAAAGCTGTCAATTCTAATCTGTTGATCTGCTCGGAATAAGGTTGGAAAGGTTTCAACCTCCCGGGGGATTGTTGATGAATTGCATGTGGATAATACATTTGTATAATGGTTACCTGATAACAACAGTGTTGAAGTGTCTCCTGCAATAGGTGTACCTCCCATGTTCATTAGCCAAGAAAGGTCGCTTTAATTCTAACATCAATATTTCAATAACAGAGCACATTGCAATACAAATCAAGGACAACCCCCAAGA